TGGACGGGGCCGCCTGTGGAGCTGGTTGACAGTTGCCTTTTGTATCTATGCTTCTTTTTCTATGTCTGCTTCTGTCTATTTTGGATACCCAAATGTAAAAGCAAATAACTTAGGAACTGTAAACCCAAATTACATGTACAATACATAATTTCTTAATATATAAATTAAAATTGGGTGAGTAGAACACAGACCAAGCTGCATCAGTTCAAACATGACTCAAAGTTGGGGTTTTTATTCTCCGAAATGATAGGTCTTTTTTGAACAGCAGTAATAAAGACATTCTTGAGAGAAAAAAAAAGATTTCATTGTACTAAATTTCTTCTACATCATGTCAACCACAAATGCAGAAAATTGCAGACCTCTAGCTACAACAGTTCCAGATGTGGGGTTTGGAACTTTTGGTGTCAGCTTTGAGCTGCATGCAATGGCTCCATCTGCTGGTAAAAAATTTACTGGTATAATGTTATGCATTTTAAATTATTACCCCACTTAAGGTCGACCGGGTGGCCGGCGACTCTGTGGGTTTCAAGAGGTTAATAAATAATAAACAACTGAAATATTAATCTGCTTACTTTATTCATCATATATTTCATACAAATGCAGTATCAATAAAAATGAACATTGAACAAATCCTCTCCTCTTGACAGATGCTAAATAGGGACATCACATGTAAACAAAGAACAAGGAAACCAGCAGCTGTGCCAAACACTGGAGACCGAGTGGAAACATTTGTTCAAAGGAACAACTTGAACATATAAAAGAAAGTAAAATGCTGCAGTTGTAAAAAATGCTCGAACAAAGAGGAAAGTTGTGGACGACTTAAAATGTGGTTCTTTAACAATAAAGAAGAAAAAAGAACCGGTGATTTGAAAGAAACTGCAGCATTATGAGAGCAGGACTGAGCGATGGCATCCATGCAGCTGCAGTGACTGTAGGTGGCTCAGCTTTAAACGGAGCATCTAGATGTAAATACGTGGTGACATCTATTCACAAACCCTATTGGATTGAATTGATACCGCCACACTCACACATGCACATTATGGTTCAAATACATTAAACTGAAAATATCTGAGCATTTAAAGGAATTTATTTCAACCTACTTGCTTTTATTTTAATTCAAGCCAAATTATTAATTTTATCTAGTGACCCCAATGTCTTAACAATTATGAATCTGCAGAGGATTCCTCTGAAGAATCATGTTGGAATAAAACCTGTGAAAACACTGACAGACTCTGTGCCACTGGTTGGGTTAAAAGTACTCCCCCTAGTGGACAGCAGTAATACTCTGTTCTGGATGTTGTCTAGTCAGGATGTTCTCAACTTGTTCCATGAGCTATTTGTGTTTCTGTGTTCAGAGGGAACTATGAAGACCAGCGGCCGTATGTGGAAGGGGATCCCTGCTCCAGTTGTCCACATAACCTCCAGAAATGTGAAAACAACCTCTGTGGTATGAAACACACTCTTGATCTGTTCATCCTGACTTGCCTGTCTCAGTCAATCCATCCTAAACAGATCCTTTCAAACATAGAAGATGAGTAAAATCAGTGAAACCACAGACTGAAGGATTTAAACTGGAAGTTGTTTGGCTTAATGAACCTAAACTCTGGTCAATTGGTTGCGGTTTATTCCAAAGCCAGGCTTCTTTGCTCCATCTTTACTTCTGCTCACCTTTCCTGTCTGATCAACAATTAAAAACAGGTTAAATCAGGGTTCCTAAACCCTGGTCCCTAGGGCCCCCTGTCCTCCATGTTTTAGGTGCTTCCTGCCTCCACACACCTGACCTCAGAGAACAAGTAACCAACAGGCTTTAGCCGCATCTGATGGCTGTAGAGGAGGTCATGGGATCAATTGAATTAGGTGTGTTTGGGTAGAGACACATCTAAAGCATGAAGAGCTGCAGGCCCGTGGGACAGGGTTAAGATACCCTGAGGACCAGAGTTAAGGTACCCTGAGGACCAGAGCTAAGTGACCCTGAGAACCAGAGCTAAGTGACCCTGAGGACCAGGGTTAAGTGACCCTGAGGACCAGAGCTAAGTGACTCTGAGGACCAGGGCTAAGTGACNGCTAAGTGACTCTGAGGACCAGGGCTAAGTGACCTTGACGATGAGGGTAAAGTGACCCTGAGGACCAGAACTAAGTGACCCTGAGGACCAGGGCTAAGTGATCCTGAGGACCAGAGCTAAGTGACTCTGAGGACCAGAGCTAAGTGACCCTGAGGACCAGGGTTAAATGACCCTGAGGACCAGAGCTAAGTGACCCTGAGGACCAGGGTTAAGTGACCCTGAGGACCAGAGCTAAGTGACTCTGAGGACCAGAGCTAAGGTACCCTGAGGACCAGGGTTAAGTGACCCTGAGGACCAGGGCTAAGTGACCTTGACGATGAGGGTAAAGTGACCCTGAGGACCAGAGCTAAGGTACCCTGAGGACCAAGATTAAGTGACCCTGAGAACCAGGGCTAAGTGACGCTGAGGACGAGGGTTAAGTGACCCTGAGAAACGGGGCTAAGTGACCCTGAGGACGAGGGTTAAGTGACCCTGAGAAA